AGGTAATTTTCGAGGTAAAAATTGGAAAAAAGGAGGAAGGAAATTATAAAATTTCGAATGCTTAACGAGAACGAGATTCGTGGAACAAGCGAAATAAAAGATTTCGAAGTATTTCGCTAATCGTTGGGAAAGGAATTATCCGAAAGAGGAATGAAAATGTCACCGGATGTAAAGAGACGAGAAAGTTTGGTAACGTGGACAGGCAGCCGCAATGTCTGGTTCCGGTCTGCGGTTTTCCTCAGGGGAACACGTGCGACCGAAACGGGTTTTCTTCGGGTGGTCTTGAACCAGCGTCGTCGGCTCCTTGTGCCGCGTTTTATCTTAAAAAAACTGATCCGGAACTGTCGCGATTCAAAGCAAACGCATTGTCTGTCGGAAAAGAGAGAGAGATTGGAGGCCTTCGAAGGACACCGGATCACCTTCAACAAACGCTTGTTTTCTTCTACCATACGAATAAATAATAATTTCATTCAATGATCTTTCTTCTTTTCGCAATATGTAGTAAATATATGTACACTCTTAGTTTCTATGACTTTGACTTTTCTTTTTTTTTTTTTTCTCAGATATCTGAAGGGCTCGATTAAGCTTTTCTCCCCAAGTGCCACTTGAAACTGTCGCAGAAAACGTCACGGGAAATCTTGGAAGCAGTAAAATAGTAAACACTTCTAAACGCCACTATCTTCAGAGGGTGGTCTCTAGAAAAACGAGTATACACTTCGCTTTCAACCCTTAAGACACGCTGCTTAAGACTTTAATATTTTTATTTCTTTACAAGATATAAGTTATTATCTTGAGAAAGTGCGTCGTTTCACGAATCGAAGTGGAATTGAAGGGTATTTGAAACGATTTCAACGAAAAGTCAAAGTGTCTTGGACTTCTAACGCATTTTAAGGATTCGTTATTTTTTTATTATGAAAAATTTACCAAAGAATTATTTTTTTATCGAAGAAATACGTATTCGAAGATGTTTTAACTAATTATTATATAATTCCTATTAGATTTGTAAACGTGATTTCACAACAGCATGGCAAGGAGTTAACGGAACTACGGAATACACACGGTGCAGGATTTCAAGTAGGAAAAGACAAGATGGCCGTGACGCTTCTCTTTCGTCGGATTGTTCGCTGTAAGGCAAACAAACTCCTTGAGAATTCGTGATCTTAGAGAGCACACGATACCATCCCGGACAGACGTTGGATGACATTAAATAATTGCCTTCCCGACCCTTCGCTCCCAGATTTCGCGGAAATTAGTTAATCACGGTTAATGTTACAGAAAATATTCAAATTCGCTCGAATCGTTTTTTATTTAAAAAATTGGAATTTTTCTCATCATCATCATTAAAATTAGATACGATTATCTTTCATTTTTAATATTATTCCCTTTTAATATGTATACTTATAAATTGTGAAATTTTCCTACGTACAATTTTTCTTGGAAATTTTAAATCTGTAAGGAGCGAGGCTTTGGATATTAAAGCGGCGCACGTGGAGCCGTGACTTTTGATAAGCGGCAATCTCTATTCTTTCAGGGCCGGTTACTCGACACTCCATCACGTGTTTCGATATGTAAACATTTCGGTTTGATTGACCGCGATCAACGAGTCAATTGACAGGCGGGTTGTTGAGACTTAGCGGCAGGATTGAAAACATTTCGATAAGAGAGTTTAAAGACTTCATAAATAAAAAAGTAATACTTATACCTATACGTATATATACGTGTTAAAGACTCAAATGAAACCGTTATAGTTGAATTGTATAGATTTTTATTATTAATTAATCAATAATAGTCTTTTATTATTATTAAGGTAAATAATTAATCTACGTTACTAATACTTTTATTAACAATATTCTATCTAGTTTAGATTTTTGTATATTTATATACAAAAACTACTAGTAATAATAATAAAGAAATTATATTTTTTTCTTATTTGATATTTGATAATGTTATTTTTACAATGCCAAGCGTTTTTTATAGTTCCAGCATTACGAGCAAAAGACCAAAAAGTCTACGACGAGTTATATAAATACAATATCGATAACTAATATTTTTAACGATTCTCTTCTTTTTTTTTTTTTCTTTTCATCGCAATTGGCGAGAAAAGAAGAATCGGCAATACCGAAAATCCTAATATATTCCATGGACGGAAATTTATGATGACGCTCAAGATCTATTGGAAACTGACATCACGGGTAAAATTTCCAGATAATCGATCTTAATTTCAAAGGATAATCAATGATGCACGAGTTCCGAGAGACGATCCGAACAGAAAATGGAGGGCGGTTCTACACTCGGGCGGAGCGTATTTCTAACCTCTCGTTGGCCAACAACATGGACCAATCGTTTCATCAAGCTTTTTCGTACCATTTGCAAACGCGTATCCGTAGAAATTATAAAATTCATTGTTCGAGTAAGCTGTCTCTGTTAACATCGAAATAAGAATTCTAATTCTAGAGACCGAATAATAATCAAAACTATCGTGCCGATTAATCGAAACAATACTTTTCACCAAGTTAAATATACAAATTGCATCGTGACTATATCGCGAGTATTATAATTGTATACAAGTGTATACGGTGTATATATGTAATTTGTATGTAAATTATTACAGCTAAAAGTATACAAAACGGAGCATTTTATTATAATATTCTTTGGAACAACGCACTTTTTGGAATTATTTCGTAATTAATCACATTGATGTTTGTCGTTGTGGAAGGACATGAATTGGTAATATCTGAAAACGTTCCTCCTCTCGATCTGTATACACGAGTACTGATTAAAGCAATCACCACGCAGATTAAAGATACTTTCTTATTTAAATTCTACTCGGCGTTAACACCGAGTACTGCATACTCTCGCGTCCAATCACGGTCGATCGAATCGATACACTAATCACAATCGAGATTTCACTTGCAACGAACACAGTTGTGCAATTTTCATTACGATCTTCCATCGAGCGATCGCGACACGTCCGATCGTCGTTCCCGGTATTCGAGTTTAGTTCTCCGCGAGGCGTGGGCATCGGCCGTGAAAATCGATTCCCATTGGTCGTGCGCCCGAGCGTTGGCATCGTGGACTGGCTCGCCGACCAATCCAGGCTCGAGTCAACTCCCCTCGTCTCGCCACGCCCACTCGAAGGGGGGGGGGGCTCGCGTGACGGAGTGGCTCGCGTCATCGCGATGTACCAAGCTTCCACCAGGTTCAGAGTCGATCGCGAGAGTTCCTCCAGTCATCCGAAAACACTTAGCGGCGCATCAGCGCGACGTCCGCCAAAGTGGCAAGTTTAAATAATTGACCCCACCGTTCCACCACCGTGCAAACAATTTACATACGTAAATAACAGTTTCTTTCATCTTCCTTTTGTATCGCGCGTGGAAACGTCACGCGAATTCGGGCGACGACCGAGACGACAAACATAGATAATAAGTAGATCGGGGGAAATAGATTGTCTTATTTTTTTTTTTTTTTTTTTTTTTTTTTTTTTTTTTTTTTTTTTTTAATTCAGTGAAATCGATGAGCAAACAACAGTGACGCGAGTGACGCACGCGAGAATTAAGACAGGATCCTGCCTTTCGATTTCGATTTCACCGATCGATTTTATTTTGAATCGTGATTTTGGAAATCGACCGATCCGCGTCGAGATTTGTGAAAACTCGGACATTTGTCTTCTGCCTTTTCAAGCGAGGCGAACGAACCGATTTTAGAATGTTTTTTATCGAGTGACGAAACTGGCCAGGCCCAGTCCACATCCATGGATCAAACGGTGATCGTCCCGTCGACGCCTCGGGGAAGCGCGATGAAGAACGAGACGGAGTCGAATCTGCATCTTCAAGATCAGTCAGCCACCTCCGTTTCCCATTCCAACTCCGTGGTACCCCGCGCCAATTTAACCATGGCGAACGCCCTGTCCCAGGACCAGGGCCTAGACTCGTTGATGTGCAGCCAAACGAGCGGCGAGCTGCCGAGGAAGCCTGGGGCGCGTCGCCAGGAGAAGCCGCCCTACTCCTACATAGCCCTGATCGTGATGGCGATCCAGTCGAGCCGCGAGAAGAGGTTGACCCTGTCAGAGATCTACTCATTTCTCCAACAACATTTCCCCTTCTTCCGTGGCGCTTACCAAGGCTGGAAGAACTCGGTCCGTCACAACCTCAGCTTGAACGAGTGTTTCATCAAGCTTCCAAAGGGGTTGGGCAGGCCGGGCAAAGGCCATTATTGGACGATCGACCCCTCGACGGAGTACATGTTCGAGGAAGGGAGCTTTCGTCGGCGGCCACGGGGCTTCCGTCGCAAGTGCCAGGCCCTGAAGCCTCAGTATCCCCAATACTTTTCCGGGAGCGGGCCTGTCAGCGTGCAAACGGCCGGATACGAGAATTTGGGAGCAGGCGCGATGGAGTACGCGAACGGTTATCAGAATCAGTATCAAAATTATCAGGAGTACGCGATGTACGCGGGGCCTGGGGCCGCGGATTGGCCGTATCCAGAGCCGGCTTACAAGACGCCACCCATAGCTGAGGTGACTTACAAGACGACCGAGGTGACGTACAAGACCGGGGAATCGTCGGTGTACAGGAACGGGGAAATAGTGGCGTTCAAGAGCGAGCCTGGTTACGTGGCTAGGAGTCAGGAACAATTGACTTACAGGGCAGCGGATGGTTTCTCCGTGAAGGATCATCAGCAGCATCATCCGGACCCGGTTTACAAGGAGAACGAGGCCATGATGTCGTACAAGTGCCCGGCGTCCAATCCAGCCCCGACCACCCAACCACCTGGCCAAGATTATTACGTCGGTTACGGTCTTGCCGGGGTCAATAATACCGGAAACAACGTGAACGTTGGTATGCAGGGGATGCCTGAACAGGGTACAGGGAACAGTAGCCCTGTGGGGGGGAATCCTGTGAATTCGCCGCATAGCGGCTGCCAGACACCTGTGACGGATAATAGTGAGTAGTTTCCATCATCGAAATTTATTTATTTATTTAAGGGCTTTCTTTTCTTGCGAATCTTTTTTTAAGTTTTTTTTAAAAATTTGCCATTTTCCAATCTTAATCCAATCTGTCCCCCCCCCAGTTGTTAATCAACTAATTCTCTTTCCTTCTTTCAATCCTCCTCGAGAATAATTGGTAATTGTTTTGTCCCTGTTAATTTATAATAATAATAATAATAATTATTATTAGTATCGTTGATTCCAATTTAATTAATCGACACGAAGCATATTGGGATATATAGAAGCACAGTATATTGTGAAACTAAGGATAAAATTGTTACGCGAGTCGAAGACAATGACAGTTGTGGAAGGGCCATGTGGAAAATCGCAGAGAGACGGTTTACGACCATAGAGGCGCCGACTTTCCTAAAAACTGTGGAGCTCTACTTGTTCCTGCATGCATTTCGCACAGTTGTCGAATATTCTTTAAACTTTTAATTCGAGAGGGAAATTATTCCTCTATCGCGTTTATTTGTTAAATAAATGTATCATAAAGAAACGTGAAAAAAAAAAAGAGAGAGAGATAAATTTTCTGGATGGATAAATTAAAAATCCATCTTATTTTTAATTGAAAAATCGTCGAAAGTAGCGTGGAGGCAACAGACACGAAATCACCGTAGCTGACAGCGCCTATTAGCCGGGGTGACATTCTCGTCACGCCCATGCGAAGAAGTCGTAATTCGTAACGTAACGCGTGTAACACTACGGTGCCTCTTGCTCGGTTTAATTTAACGATGGAAATTTCAAATCGGAGCAATTATACGCTTAAACGTTTTATTATTTTTTTTCCCCTCTCTTTCTTGCATTAAATTAATTACGATTTGTTGCGTTGTGCACATTTCTACATACGAACGTTAAAGACAATCCATTTTACGGACTCGTTTGATTCCACTCGTTTCATTTATGAATGAGCGGAACGATTTCGTGAATGCAAAAGTTTACTACGTCGATCGCGCGATAAACAAATGATCGTGGTGAACGAAAATACACGGTTTTTTTGTATCAGTTACCGGTAGTCGCGTGCTGGTAAGTGAGGTCTCAAATCGCTTATCGTGTAAACATTTACAAGTAGGATAAACAAAATGTTCTTTAATCTAAGTACATCGAATGTACCTTAAACACTAGTCGGTTCGTTTATTAAACCTTTCCACACAGAATCGGCTTCAGCCTCTCCAATTCCATGGACTTGATCTGGCCAAGCTATGATCCATTCACAATTTCCTTAAATGGTAATCTCTAATCTGTAACGCCGATTTCCTCGATATTTCCTCAATTGTCTGTCTAAAAATTATATAAATAAGACAAGTCGAACATTTATTTTTTTAAGAAATTTCTAATCTTCTTTGTGACCGAAATTATTTGTTTATTATCGAACGATGCTGAAATATAAATTTTTGTTCCGAGTATGTGTCAATTGGCGATTTTTAAAATTCACGCGTTTTATTTAAGCAAAAACGATTTGGCGAAATTTTCCCGAAACAATAAGTATTCGTGCAAAAGGATTATTCGCACACTCCCATTTATAAGTAGAATCTCTTCCTTCTCTCCATCTCGATACACCATGCTAGGCATCGACGAGGGATAAACTTGCCACCCACGCACCCTTCCTCCTCCATCCGCTCCTCCTTCTTCAGTTCAGTCAGCAAAGTGTAAACGAGATCAATCTGCAGACGCGGCTCGGTAGGCCCCCAGTTTTCCTGTTTCTCTTTTTCTCATCTACCCCGCTCGGGATGTATTTCTGGAGCAATCTCTCTACTATGGGATCGTTGTTGGCACGAGAGCGCCCGATATTCGCTCAGGGAAGGAACCTCCTCCTCCTCCTCCTCCTCTTCCTCTTCTATATGCCGGTTCTATGCTTCGATCGAAAAGAGCGAAGGAAAAAGAATATAAAGAAATTGGAGGGAGCGAAATATCTTTGCCTCATCGAGAAAACTTTGAATTTGTCGGAGAAGTCGGGTGAGGATTTTGACTGACGGCGCTGCCACAGTCGGACCACACACGACGCTGTTTTAAGACTCTTTCAGTTACACTTCGCTTTCTGGATCTGCAATTAAAACGAATTTTAATAATTGCCAATTCTTTAACTAACAGATAATTCAATCCCATTTTTACTCACGGTTATTATTTCACTTCTATTCTAACAAGTTTTATATATAAATTTTATAATGTACGCTGTATTAGGAATTAGAATTTTTATACGGGATATAAACACACGTTTCGACTTTCTAAAGGATGTAAGAAAATGTAAGAAATTCGGTAAGAAGGAGACGAAGAAGCAAGAGAGGAAAAAAAAAAAATAAAGAGACAAAGATAGGAATCGAGTGAAGTGCGTACTTGAAGAAGAACTACTCGAGAGTTGCCGGAGCTTTAGATTTATCATAATCCTAATACAAAGACCGATACGTACGAGGTCTTTCGCTTTTTCCTCTTAATTTCCTCCTCTTCCTTCACGTGTGTGGTCCTCCTCCTCCCATTTGAAATTTCACTAAATTTCCATTTGAAATTTTCACTAGAAATCGGAGAAAAAGTTTGATAATCGTACGTTTAAAAAAATTTTTGATGAAAATTAAAGAGATCGCGTTTTTGTTCCAGGTATAAAGATGCAATGCTCGAACTCGAATTCGAACAGTTCGGGAGGTGGGCTGATCGATCGTAAACCATCCTACTTTGGCCATCCAGCCGGATCGGTTACCTTGAGCTCGTTGAGCTCCCTAAGTTCGCTCAATTTGAGCAACATCGGCGGATTGAGCAGTGGATTGAGTATATCGAATATACCCGGCGCAGTCTCGTCGAATATTCATCACGCGACGACCACGCCCTCAACGACAATGTACTACGATCCGATCAAATACAATATGTCGAACGTGTGATCTGGAACAAAGGAAGAGAACGTATTGAGAAAAGTGCGATGAATCTATAACAAGATTCTCGAGTGAAGAAGAACTTTGCTCGTGAATTGAATCCAAGTGCGAATCCGTTTAAATGTTACGCTAGAAGGGAAGAAGGGGTCTCTATTTTTAAAGATTGCTTCGTCAAACTGTATATTGAGATTTTATTTATATTTATAGTTACGAATAAATGTTACTAATTTAAGTCGTTCACCGCGAATATCATATGATAAATGTAAAAAATTAAGATTATTCTTTGCTAAGAAAGAAGAAGAAGAAAGAAAAACAGGGGAAAGTTTTCTTTTTTTTTTTTGGTTTCAATCATGCTTTCTCGCGTTTTTACTTATTTAAAGGATCGATGATGGTTTTGAAGTAAGCTTTGAAAATTAAGACAATCTATAACTGCCGATGATGTATCAAAGCGAGCTAAATATTGATGATGTCACACGATGGTTTTGCGGTGACGATAAAGGATTTGTTGATAACAAAGCAAACTCTCTTTCCTAGTCCCTCCACGAATCAATTCCAGGAATTTCGTTTGTCAGACGGCTTGTGCAACTTGTCTCACGTAACAAGATTATACTTTTTATCGATCAATTTATCGTAATCAACAAATTATAATCGTTGAAGCGAAATCTACTAATTTTTTTTCTTCTCTCTCTCTCTCTCCGTAGCTTCAATCATTCCTTGTTTAAAATAAATTTGAGTTTCTTCCTAATTTTAATGATTCTTTACTCAAGAAAGAAGAAGAAGAAGAAGAAGAAGAAGAAGAAGAAGAAGAAAAAAACTCACTCAAGAGGAAGAAATTTTACGATCTCGGAAGCTGTTTTTTGTTTTTTTATTCATTTCTTCGCTGTAAAATAAAAATAAAAAGACCGAACATTAAAAAAATTCCTCCGTTTCACTTTTGACGGCTCGAAGAGGAACCGGTAGATTCTTCGCAGGAAGATAATAAAAGAGGAGATGATGATACAGTCGTGAACGATAGTAGCATGTTTTAACCATGTAGTGATGCACGACAGATTTCTATTGAAACAGCTTGTTGCCGGATCCCTGCCATAAAAATGACGAGAACAAGTTAGAGGCTCCTTTTGGCCGGCCAGGATACACTTATTTGAGTAATATGGAGGACGTTCTTTCTTGCCACGTGTTCAAATAGTAGCCTCGGTTCCTCTTCGATATTCTTACAAATCTCGTTATATATTTCTCTCGCGAAAATCTGACGCTCGATTATCGATGTCACGTCCAAAAATAATATAATACGCGACATTCGATCCAGATTTCATTATCGCGGGTCGAGAATCAGGACCGATTAAATAATAACGGCCGATCCCTTTTCTCTTCTCTCTCTCTTTGCGAATGTTTGCGCTTGTATGCAAGTATATATGGTAAATATGTTTAAAATATGTTCACACGATCACGGTAAAATACATTGTGCCAATACGCCTTGAATATAACACTTGCAATCACGAGTTTCGTTGCACCATCACCATTCACAACGGATACTATGACCCTTTGTTCGGTGATTCAAGCTTCGCTATTTATCGATGATTCCTTGAATCGGCTTCAGGGAATCAAGAGGCACGAGATTGCTTATGTAATAAATTAGAGAATGTTATGCGAGATGGTGGATCGCATGTGGTGTCGGCTTACACGAAACAGATTCATAACTGACATTAATTTCGCATTAAGATATTTCTCCTCTCACCGATTCAAAGATTGAATCCTACCCCTTATGGGAACGAAGATCATTCGATTCTTTTCTTCAATTCTTTTCCACCGTGTTTGTGTTCCAACTGGTTGTTTATGCAACTTTCCTCTATTCTCTGTAGAAGATTTTCAATTTTAGTTAAGTTTTTTTTCTTTTTTTTAACAGCATAATGGATTATAATCGTATATATAATAAATAACGTTACCTTTTGTCAAATTTTACCTTTTATAATGTAACATTTATACACGTTATACACTTTGTTTTGTTCCACTTTTGCAACGACTTTTCTCTCATCTTATGATATACCACGCGACTCGGATATCCAAGTGGTATGGAAAGAACCACTTCTCATATGTATCGTGAAAAATGCACATAAGCCAGACGACGAATATGCACGAGGTGCAAGAGAAGTCACTCAATGACGCCGTTGACAGGCCATTTCTGGACCGTGGTTAATGGTGTTTTTATTTCTGTGATACCTTCTTACTCAAAAAGAGAAAATTATCTTCCTATTTCTTTTTTTTTATTATTATTAAAATCAAATCGATTGATTAAAATAATTTTTCTTTTCAATAATTTTATTCTCAAGTTTGAACATTATATGCTGCAAAGTTAAAATAATTTATCTATTTAAATATAGATATGTTATAGGGGTATCTATTTTATTATAGATTTTTTAACGTAAAGTTATGCTTAGAATTAATAAGCATTCATTCGTTAATTGATAATGTAAATAATGTGTACATGACCGATGTGTACTTACATTTTGGTATTATATATAAATTTAAAAAAAAAAAAATCTGTGATCTAAAGAATTCTGGAGACTGCATTATTTCAAAGCGCCTTCGTATCGAAACGAAAAGAGAAAAGGCAACGGAGAAGATATAAATCGAAAGAAGGGAGAATGAGGCATAGAGAAAGAGGAGGAATATAAGAGGAAGGGGTCCGCTCTAAAATAATAAACTCGATACGATCTGAGGCTAGACAAAGTTGGAACAAACATCCAGCAACACTGTACAGATTAGAAAATGAAAAACTTGATCTTAAAATGTCGATATTAAATTGAATTTAATTATTTATATTAAATTAACTTTGTTGATATTAGATATTACTTACAATTTTCAATATTTCCTTAATGAAATTTGTGAATTTACGCAAAATATTACATATTGTTGTTGTTATCATATACTCATTTCTATCAGCATATATATAATGTTTTAGATGTATCTTTTAAAAAAACAGATTAACAGATTAATTTCAAATTTTTAGAACAAGACATTTATATTTGTACGGTAAAATATTATGCTCGAAGCGCCCTCTACAGAATTCGTGTCTATCGTACAGTCAATTTAAAAATTTCTTAAATCATAGTAATGATATTTTAATTTAAAAAAAAGTTTTTTAAATGATCGAAATAATTCGATAATAAGAATTAATAACATTAAAGAAAGTATTTCTCAACCATTTAAATCGTATACTTATGATACCACGAGCAATTGGTTTTAAAAAAATTTTGTTCACTCATTTATACAATAAAATGTCGCACATGCGCGTTAAAGTATTATAAAGACGTCAGTACTAACAGGTCAGAAAAGCGGTAGACAACCGGCTACTTTGTTCGGAAATACTGCCAAGTCCTTATTTTGTTTATTAATATTACATTATGGAAGAAATATTATTGAAGTTACTTGTAGCCGATAACACATCTATTCAACAGGTATATTTAGAAAAGTGACATTTAATAATAGGAGTAAATTTTATAATATTCAAAACACGTGTTTGCTCTTATTCATAACCATTTAAAAGAAATATGATGTTAATTTATTTCATCTATATTATATGTTTTGATATAGAATGTAGTAACGTATAACTTTTACGTTGCAAACTTTATTATTTTATTATTTTTAATATTTTATGTATTCATAATCTTTTATTTTATTTTACTTTTTTATTAATTTTTTTTATGAAACAAGGATTATTATATATCTTTCGTTATATAGATTTCTATAGTTTTTTTCTTTTATAAAAAAAAAAAAAAAAAAACAATCTATTTCATATTTCTTATAAATAGAATTTTATATAAATAAATTATTCGCTAATTAAATAGAGAGATACATTATAATGATTACAGGGAACAGCAGAACTTAGAGAAGCTTTTAAAAAACAAGAAACTATACAAGCATTATGTCAACTTATTATTTCATCAAGCAATTCACAGGTTTTTTATTTATCTTATAAATTTTTTCTACTTATATTATAAATATTTTATAACAAAAAATAACTTATATCTAGATAAGACAATATGCAGCTATATTACTTAGAAAACGTTATGGTAAAGGTAAACATTGGTTAAAATTACCACATCATGTACGCAATGAATTTAAGACAGTAATTTTACAGGTAAAAAAATATTATTTTTTAATTTTTTTTGTTGTTGTTGAAAATATGTAGAATTTTTATTATTTTTTTAGGCATTAGTTAATGAACCAGAAAAATTTGTAAAAAATGCAATTGCACAGTTAATAGGTGTAATCGTAAAACATGAATTGCCTAATAATGGTTGGCCAGAAGTTTTACAATTTGTACAGCAGTTAGTTACTAGTGAAAATTTGTTACAGAAAGAGGTATAAAATATAATAATAATTTTATATTTTAAATTATATAAAAAAAATTATATAATTTCTTATATCTGTAATTTATTGTAATGTATAATCTTGTTATAGTTGGGGACCTATACTTTGTCGATTATGACTGAAGTTGCACCTGATGCATATCTTACACATGCTGCATCACTTGCAGTTCTTTTGGGTCAAACATTAAACAGTTTACAAGATTTAGGGAATCCTGTGGCATATTATATCTTGCGAATAATGCAGAATCTTGTTCCTTTAGTTGAAGATAATCAAATGGTAAGTAATATATAATATTTAGAAATTGATTCAAAAATTTAGTTAATTTTTTTAATAATGAAGTATTTTTATAGATGGTAAATGCTTATCATCAAATGATGCCACAAGTTATGACCACAATTCAGTCTCTTACTACTACTAATGAAGATAAAGCAATTGAATGTTTTGAATTATTAGATGAATTGTGTGAAAATGCAATTGCTGTGATAGCTCCACATGTCAAATCTCTTGTCAGTATGTGCCTTGTTATTGCTGGTAACAAAGCATTAGATGATGCTCTAAGAGTTAAAGCAGTTGGTTTTATTGGATGGTTAGCCAGAACAAAAAAGAAAACCATAATTAAACATAAACTTGTTGTACCCATTTTAGGTATGATACA